TTATGCAAACTAGCATTTCTAAACTGGAGATTTTATTACAAGCCAATTTAATGTATAAAATAATGTATCTTTAATTGTTGTTATATACTAAAATGGGTAACAGTCCAGGGATGGTTACAGCAGAGAGTAGAGTAGAATAGGGTAGGATAGGGTAGGGTAGAGTAGAGTGGGGTGGAGTGGAGTGGAGTGGAATGGAGTGGAGTGGAGTGGAGTGGAGTGGAGTGGAGTAGAGTAGAGTAGAGTAGAGTAGAGTAGAGTAGAGTAGAGTAGAGTAGAGTAGAGTAGAGTAGAAACAAATGTTGTTTTTAGTTTATTTTGTTTTTAGTCACATTACAATTGTCCTCTATACAATTGGTCTTGGAATGCATTTATAATGTAAATACAAAATGTACAGAATGTAAAGCTGTTGATGTTAAAGTGTTTTTTCAGTCTTAATTACTCTTCCTAATGACAGGTTTCAGATGCCAAAGGGAAGCTGAGGGACGTAAGAGACTTCTGGGCTCTCCTCCCATCAACACTTTGCAATGAAAAAATATCATCTGGTTCTGTAAATGAGGATAGGTGCTGGAACGGAATGACCAAAGGCAGGTAAGGCTAATCAGCTGTGAAATAATGAGGCCCATTTACTATACCATGCTTCAAAACATTTAGGTTATGCATAGCAAATAAATATTTCAAATTTCCTTTTGTATTGTACTATTGCATATCACATATATTGATACACAACAATCAACATATTTTTTTTTAAAAAACCATCTTTTAAAAAATTTAAAACTGCATACATTTCTTAGTAGAAGCATTTCTTGAAAATATTTGACAATTTTTGGGAAATTGTTACTGGAAAAAAAATTAGATCTGCCACCTTATCACATAAATTATAGAGTGTGACATAGTCACCAGAAAGTATTGAATTTTCTTTAGTTTCAACTGAACAGACCTTGGAGCTTGTTGGGACATATAAGAGGGGCATCAGAAACGACTTATATATGCAGATAAGTTGATATAGAGAAGTAACTCTTCAAATAACCACATCAAAAAGAATCCAATGTTTTAGGGATTATCAGACACAAGCCAGCCACATTGGGAAACTCAGACTGTCATCTACGTTTTTTATGAAGTTTTAGAGCTTGGAAAAGTAAAATGTTATTACAGAGGTGGATCGGAAAGAAATTAAATGAGATGAGACAATAATTAATTGTCCCATGTTTATTTAGACAGGTGAAGCTCAAAAGAGAAGACTGATCTAAAAAGGCTTAGGCAGCTATTCACAAAATTCATTGATATTATACTTCCATTTCCCTAGGTCAGTGGTTCTCCACCCTTTATTCACCATGGATCCCTTTAAATACCACTAAGACTTAACTCAAGATATAGATCATAAATTTCTTCATGCCTTTGTTGACCCCCTGTAATGATATCATCACTTCCCAGGGGTCCCTGGACCAAAGGTTGAGAACCAGTTCTTGACAGTCTTCAAGGAAGCCCAGTACCACAGCTATCAGCTTGTGAGAACAGTGGAGAGACTTGTAACCTCTCTCAAATTTAGTATACCCTGAAAAACTGATTCACTTTCAGAACTCAGACTTACTTTGAGGCGCTCTTCCTCTTCCAGGGACAAATTTTCTACAGGCTCCAATATTTCCACTATATTCCTGGGCCGAAGGCAAAAAAGTATCAAGCAGAAGTTCATAATTCATGTCTAAAGGACCACTGACTAGATTCATGAAATACAAAGATGAGATAGTGACCAAAACAATACGTTTTCATTTTCTTCTGTACTTATTTTTTATTCTATCTCTTTTCTTTTGCCACTTTCCCATGGTAACTAGCTAGTGGATAACAATAAGAAAAGAAAATGGGAAATCATTTTTTTAAAAAGAGTGGGTTAGGCTCCCACCCACCGAGTAAGTCCGGTTGGATCTCCATGTAGTCCAGTTCTCCAGAATTAGCTTTCAGCATGAACATATACATTCTCTTTACAGATACCTTCCAGATGTGATGGGAGATGGTCTAGCCAATCAGATCAATAACCCAGAGGTTGAGGTCGACATCACCAAACCGGACATGACTATTCGCCAGCAAATCATGCAGCTCAAGATTATGACAAATCGATTGCGCAATGCATACAATGGAAATGATGTGGATTTCCAGGATACAAGTAGGTACAAGCTGAAAAAGTGGGACTGTTCATAACATTGCATGTTTAGTAAGCAAAAGAGAGGTTCATACACAGTTGTGATACTCAAGTGTTCAGAACACTGGAAAATTATCCCCCTGTTAATTTTCAAGGACTGAATTTTTAATCTGGAAGAAGGCATTGATCAAGTGTCAAAAGTATTAATGTTTACTGATAATCAAAATGTCTTTCTCCTTGTCAGGTATCCCCAAAAATGCATGTATCCACAACTCTCATACACTAATCCAAGTTAATCAAGTGAGTGACAGTTAAGGCATTGTATAATGGGTAATGAAAATAGTGTGAATCATCCAGATTAATGTGTGAAATAAATTCTGTCCCAAATGGCGCCTCTGTAGCATAAGAATTCTTATAATTTCAGAAGAAGAGAATTTAGGTAACTCAGGATGAACTTGGAGTCCTCAGTGTTCTCCAAGCTTGTTTCCTTGCAGATATTTCATTACCCAACTATGTAATATCAGTCAGGTTATGAAATATCTGCAAGCAAGCAACCAAATTTGGAGACTCTAAAATTGTAGGGCATGAGAGATCAGGTCCACACATGAAGGTTCAATTAAACTGATTTATTGCTTAAGCCTATGCCCAAGAATCTTCTGAACTAATGTTCAACACCTGGTTAGTTAGATAGGGGCCAGCGGCACTCAAGGAGAAGAAGAGTTGGACTTAATTAGCTTGAGGCTATGTAATGATTCTAGGCTGATTCCCCTTTTCATTTCACTCCCAGGTTGATTTTGTCATTCCTTCTCCTGTATTAATTCTTATAATTAATTTAAGAATCTTTCTTAAAATTAATACTCCTATTGCAAGACTAATGTGAAATTTGTCTGAATCTAATACTTTTCTTTAATTCAAGATTTCCAAACATTTTGGATTGGTAGGTAGATCTAAAGCATATCGTAGGCTGTGTTTCAAAATTGCTACATTGCAGGGTGGAAGTTTACCAAGAAGTTGTCATGATAGGCATAGCATGAAATACTCATTTCCCAGGCAAAATAATTAGGTTGCTTCCCACCCTTTCCTGTGTTCTCCATGGTGTTCTCTGCCATTTCAGTTCTCCACTTGGTTCTGAACATACTTCCAAAGATATATACAAAGGGATACAGCTTTTGCCATTATAGCCACCCATTATTGTTAAATTCTACGACGAGCCAGGGAGTCAATCTAGGACCCACTAACATTTTGAAAAAGAAAGATAATGCTGGAGTTGAATCTAATTCTGCCCTCCTCTATTCTACATGACAGGCAGTTGCAGATTAACCTACAATATCTACAAAAAAGATATTGGCTAGAATTCAGTTTTTTGAAGAAGGACCATACTAATTTGAATTTTGTCTTGGCCAGGTGATGACAACAGTGGTTCTGGAAGCGGTGATACCTGCCTGGATGAAGTCTGTGGCAAAAGAGTGTCCAAGAATTCTAGCACCCGGCCACCAGAAATACATCCTATGCCTAAACAGTCAGGACAAGGCATTGGTGGAAATAACAGCAATGTACTTTTGCCTTCATACTTCCTTTTATTACTTTCTTTGGCTGCTATAGCAGCCCAGTACCTGCGGCGGTAACTTGTTTGAGCAACTGCTCAAGAAACTGTAGTGGCTAAGTCTTAACTTTGCCAAAATGGTGGACATATTTAATTCAACTTGATTCAACTTGGCAAAATGAGAGAGACAAAAGTTCTTGATGATTTGTGATAATCTGGCAGCGCTAGAATTGGTTATTTTTTCTTTTCTTCCTTCCTTCCTTTCTTTCTTTCAAATATTGGGCCTTTCCTTCTGTCCTCCATTTAAAAAAGCCTTTAATTTGCCAAAAAGAGATACCTAGGGGCTGTGACAGATCTGACAGGTAGGTTTAATACCCCCCCCCCCCAGGCAACACCTTTTTCATTGACTGGAATAAAAGATATGCAATATCTCGTATTTTTATTTAACTCTGGCATTATATTTGGCTCAGAACAATATGTCTTTTTCATTTATACATTTTCAGACTGCTCTAAAAGGGGTTCAGCTCATAATTTTCCATTCACAAAAGCGAAAAGAGCCTTTCCTTTGCATAAGATGTAAGAGTATTATTATGTACAATCTCAATTAACATCTCAATTAACAAATGAATTCTTTATCCCAGAGTTTGGAATCAAGTTCCTTAATTTTATTTTAAAAAATTCTTCTAAAAGTAATCATTGCTATCCACTAATATTATTCCTACATCCATAGCAACAGCAGTAAAAGATTTGTGTATTGCAGAATCCTTTGAAAATAACTTTCAAATAATAATAATACGGAACAGTATACACAACACTGTGGTAAAGAAAGATATGGGGAGGATGTCATTCCAGAAAGCCTACTTTGAGCTAGAGGAAGAAAAACTTCCTATTTAATAAGATGATAAGAATCAATATTTACCAAAGGAATAATGCAAAAAAAGTGATTTTCATGTGTGTGTATTATTACTTATCCTGTAATCAAAACTAGAATTTGCATGAATTGGTGAACTTAGGGCCAAGTTATATACTGTCTTAATATATATATATAGAGAGAAAATTGTTTATCAAAATTTCTACTACCTGAAATTTTCAAGGAAACCTGCTCAGAATTATGTTGGTGGAAAGAGTAAATAGACCAAAACTATCCATATGTTGGCTTAATTAATTTGATGCCTATCAGAGAGAGATGTCCAATCACAGATTTGCACCAGTGTGTATCTGTGTCTGTGTGTGCAATTCTCTGCCTTGGGTCCTGAGCTTTAATTCTAAGCATCTTTTTTTTTCTTTTTTCCAAATTATATCAAACCAACCCTACCATTTTGACTGAATATTAGAAAGACCTTGAAATGAATTAACTGATGTTAATTCACTTTAATTCATTATTATAGTTTCTCTTTGAGAAGCAAGTGATCTGAAAGCATAACTTTTATTTAAAATATATAGGCTTTTCTTAAATGCTGAAATGTTTCTATTCTTTGTCTTTAAAAAAAACAACCCAAATGTTGTGTTTCTTAGGACAGCAGTCAGGCGTAGAAACTATTATCAATTCTCAAACATTCCTAGTTACAAATAAGGAAACCATTTCTAGCATCTTAGCATTCAGTGGGATGAGACAGAGTAGAGGCAAATGAATTCAGTTGAAGGATTCTGGTTCTGCTTTGTTAATTATTGGGAAAAATTAGTTCCCTAATCATCCCATGAAGCCTCTCTGAGAATTGAAAACTTGTTTAACAAACAGCAATGCCAGAAGGAATTCTTTGTAGCAAAATACGTCTAGTTTTGTACACATTGTTTAAATCCTTGTGAGTAAAACAGTTCACCCTTCCACTTTCATTACTGATTTAGTCTATTTAAAACATTTTTTTTATTTACATTGTTCTTAAACTGAATATGTCCGTAAAGAGAATACATATGAGGCATGGAAATCAAATATCCTGCCTTCTTTGAACAAGCTTGAATGCAAGAGAAAGTGGAAAGTGCCACATTGAATTAGTGTTGTAAATGTATGTCTGTAAATACACAAAGAAATAAACAGCTATACATCATGCAGGGGGAAAATATTTGCCATTTCCTTCTCTGAATGAAAATCTGCCAACTTGCTGGAGAGCTGTAAACTCAAAAGGGTTTGGAGCCTTTTCTAAGACTCAAACTATGTGTGATGTTGACAATGTATTGTTTTTTAGAAACCTGAAGCCTCCGTGAATCATTTCTTTAAAAAAAAAGGAATATAAAAAAAATTGAGGTGCAAAGTTGAAGGATTATTCATACTTTAAAATGATTTAAAAGAAGTCTTTGTGATATGTGGGAATATGAACACAACACCTCTTTAAGGTAGCTGCATCATTTTTTGGGCTTTCCTATTAACTTCATGAAGCACAACTATTTTAATTAGCTACATGAGAGATGCACATTAGCATTACCTTAACAGGATAATTCATTAAAACAGCAAGAAGCATGAAAAAAGACACTGTCACTTTGAAGAAGTGGTGCACATATCCCCACACATTTTGAAGCACCTCTTTAAAATAATTGCTGACGCACAACCGGCCTTAGAAAAGAGCAGAGTGGGATACAGCCTTCTTCACTAGCTGAAAGACCAAATTAAATTAAATTACCACCAGCAACAAAAAGGAGTATCCTCCCTAGCATATACTTTATGCTCTTCAATCTAGCATCAATTCTCTGCTTGATATAAAATTGGAGATGCCTGATTTAAATGAGTCTTCCACCATTGCTCATCATTTGAGCCCCAGTCTTCTGTCATAGATTAACATTTTTTAAGGTTTATTTTTGTTATGGCAGTACTACATTTTGGTATTAAAAGCATTACGCTACAAGATGTGATCTGTTTCAAGTCCCTTGAAACAGAAATGAGTCATGGGTGTATAACATATAGTTTTTTTTCATGTGCCATAATGTCTGTTTCAGAAGGAGAAAGGGGTCAACAGAAGTTTTGAGAGCATTGCTATTTATCCTTTCAATGACAAAAACCTGTTGTTTCTGGTGGGCTTGTTAAGGAGTTAAGATACAAATATATCCAGACTACATCTTTGACTTTTTTATTAAAAAGGTAAAATAAGTGCAGTTCTCTCTGCAAAACGTAAAATTTATTTCACGTTATCAACAAACTTGATCATTTACATATATATTTCTTTTGGTTACCAAGTTACTTGTAACTATCTTGCACTGTTGAATTATGTTCTTTGAATCCTTGTATAAATAAATAAAAAAAGGCTGGAGACTTAAATAAGTATGAATACCATTTGGAACAGGATGATGTATTCTTTTGCTTTATATAATTTCAACAGTAATACTGCAGGTCGCCGAGTGTGCATTGGATCACTCATAATAATAGCATTGAAAAGTGTTTTGCCAGTGTAGTGAAATTCCAAAATACATCCCCAGCCAATCAACATAACTATTCCATCGATGTCTATCATATCGCAAAGAAATGACGTTTATTCAGAAATAAGGCCAAGTAAAATTTAGAATCTAATACTACATCCTGTTTTGGAATTGTAATGGAGAACTGCAAGGACAACGTAAACATTCGGAGGCAAGAATGGATCATTTGTTCTATAGGTCTATTGCATGTGATGCTCTTAGTTTCTGCAAATGGTATGGCTTGCTCTGTGGAAAACAAACTTTTATTGCAATGAATCGCATTCTTTGCCAGCTACGTGGGATTGAACTGTGGTTTTACCTTGAATGGATATCAAGCATTACTGAATAATGCACCTGCCAGAACAATTTGAGCCATGGAACACTCATGTATCAATAACTGAAAAGTAGCCATTGTTGAACCAATCTGTGGAAATGAAAATCACCATTCTTTGGGAGGGAGGAACTGTTTGCCTGGGAATTCACTCTGAATAGGCTTTCTTTCCTCTTCGGTGAACTGTTGTCCATGTCTCATCTCCGTCCAATTTTGTTCTCCCTTTTTCTCTCTCTACCCAATTAACACCTTTCTATTTCCATCTCCATCCAGTTTTCTTTGACATTTTTACTGCTAGGTAGTCAATATAAGCATAGCGATCTGTTGTGGGTGTGAATGATGTTGTGCAGTTGTTATACAGTTCTTTACCCATTAAATATTGCACATTCATAAGACTGCATAACTAAAAACCCTGTGTTACTCTCCACCAGTGAGAGCTCTATGACCGGCAGCCATTGTTATTACACACATCTGGAACGCAACTGTCATATTTCAGACAGTTCTCCATTACAATTCCAAAACAGTATATATAGCATTAAATTAGCCAAAAAAGAGGGGTGGACAGATTAATGGGTGCTAAATTCATAATTTTAACTTCACAATTGGAACTATGTGGCTTGAGTTGAATTGTCCAAGCTATAATGGTAGCAACCAGATGAAAAAGAGGAGTGGCTCTTACAGGGCAGGGCATAACCTTTTCAATGCTATTATTATGAGTGATCCAATGCACACTCG